GATCCCAGGACCCTGAGATCATGACCTGAGCCGAAGGCAGACGCTTAACTGACTGAGCCGCCCAGGCACCCCTAATGGCATTTTTCTTACCGGGTTTTGGACTTATCTGGTAGCCATCACCCCTTTCTTCTTTCCTATTTCTCCTTTTTGGAATGGGAATTATCCTACGTGTGTCCTGCCATTGTATTTAGAAGCACATTTTGGCTTCATGGGTTCACAGCGGAGAAGATGAATTATACCTCAAGTCTTACCCATACCTGATTTAGATGATATTTAGCTGAGACTTTGGATTTTAGACTTTAGAGTTGATGCTGGAATGAGTTAAGATTTAGGGGGCTGTTAGGATGGAATAAATATTTTAAGAATAAGGGTGTAAGAAGGGTGTGGTTTGCGGGGGCCAGGGGCAGTGTCATGGGCTGAATGTTTGTATCTTTCCAAAATTCATATGTTGAAGCCCTACCCCTTCATATGGCTGTATTTGGAGAAGGAGCCTAAGAAAGGAATTGAGGTTAAATAAGGTCGAACGGGTGCAGCCCTGATCTAGTGGCTGACTGCAAGCCAAGAACACGCTCTCACCAGAACCCAAATTTGCCAGCACCTTGGTCTTTGATTTCCCAGCCTCTAAAACTGTAAGAAAACACATTTCTGTTGTTTAAATCACCCGATCTGTGGTATTTTTTATAGCAGCCCAAGTGGTCTAATCCAAGTGTATTGCTCTAACTTGAATCCCAACTAAAAATCAAGCTTAAAATACCAAGTTTCCATATTGAGTAAACCAAATGCAGGCTAATAAAATCCACTCCTAGCCTAGCAGGAGTTACTCTCATGTACAAATACAAACACTTTCCCTGAACTATTCTGCAAACCCAGTTTTCCAAGCTTCAGGAGTCCTTTCTGTCTAATTTTAACTCTAATTCTCCATGTACCCTAGTCATGAAAATCGTAGCAACGCTTCCTACTGTGCCTTCAAAAATCCAGCCCAGTCTCCCAACCACCGGAGTAAAGACAGTGGTTCTTCTTGAAGATGGGCCAGGGATGCTCATGGCCAAGGCAGAAACACAAAGTCAGTGAGCAACAACAACAAGCGTAACAGTTCACACCCACCGTGTGCTTTGTCAAGGTGCTACTATAACATCCCAAAGAGGAAGGCAATTTTCATCTCTGATACATACTTTAAGCAAAGGACAGTGAGTGTCTCTCTGAACTTCTAAAGCTTGGAAGGTGGCCACTGGTGCCAATTCATTCTGGCTTCATGGCCACCCCTGTGACCATATATGGTTGCTACCCAGTGAAAGAGACACTGTTGGTTGCTTACCCTACATTTATTTCCCTTTCTTACTTGCTAATGGGAAACTGATCTGTTCATGTGGCATTGTGTCCTCCCTTGGGGGTGAATCTAAGCCCACATGAATCTCTTCTGTCTACCCAGTTGCCCCTGAGTGGCTCAAGGATGGGTTTGGACCCACTTGAGGCTGACAAGACTTAATGATACATTTGCTGGGGAATCCTAGTAAATATTTCCTGAAAAAAAGAGAGACACAAGAGAAGACAACTCTTTTGTTCTCGCTTCTCTCCTGCTTAGTGACCTGTCACATGGGGATATGATATTGAATCATGATAAATGTTTTACATCCATGAGGGGACACATCACTGCCGTATTGGGACTGGAGGATTGTGTCGTCAGTGGTCTGTGCTCTTGACAAAGGTAACGTTGCCTGTATAACAACCGTGGGGCCATCCAACCCCTTACTTGTTAAGTAATAGCACACATCCTAATGGTTTAAGTTACTATTAGAATGGTTTTTTTGTCTTATTTTGATCAGCCTAAAGCATACTAATGGTGGTATTTCAGAACAATCATTTATAATATGGCCAAGACTTGGAAATATACTTATCAGATTAGAAGATGGACAAAAGTCTTAAAATGTTTTGGGGGACATGTTATGAAGGTTTGGCTTCCCTAGCCCTCCCCATAGCTGCTTCAAGGGCTCAGTATTTTCTAGAATTACAGGAGAGATCAGAGTGGCTAATGGTATTGGGTGAATCTGGGCGACCCCTAACTTTATAGAAGCCCCAGGTCACTCTACTTGTCTAGTAACAGTTTTCTCTTTATTCATTCTTACTCTAGAATGACCTCTTGTACTTCACTGCCACTGCTTCTCAGCGCCCAGGAGAGGCACAGGGGTGATGTGTGTAGCCTGAAAGACCTCCTCGGACAGAGTAACCGTGGATGAGCAATGGCTTTGTTCTGGGATGAAGAAGCCAGGACCTAGCAGACCACCTGAGGTGTTGGTGATAAGCATGAGGATGAGTTTGAGATAGGCCTGGTGAATGAAAGAGGGGCTGGTGGCTCGAACAGAGTTCAAAGCTGGTAGAGGCTGGAGACCCTGGATGGCGGACATTGATGCCAGCCCACCCGCAGTTCCTCTGGCCATGCCCCCCGACCCCTGGACCGAGACTGATTAACCGGGGTACTGACTCGCTCTCCAGACACAAGCGGACGAAGAGGAGCCACCGCAGTAGATGCTTTCATGCCATTTCCCAAAGAGCCGATGCACCGCTTTTCCATTCTTGTCAAATACTGTACCTTCAATCTCACGGGCATTAGTGCTCCAGTATTTCGCCTAGGATTCAAATGAGAGTTAGCGGTTTAGTACTTTGGAGTCAACTTATTACAGATATTAAGAGAGACACAAAAGTAAAGAAAAAAAAAAACCATAGGAATGATTCTACATTGCATATAATTTGCCAATTCTGGGTTCTGGCTTTTTTTTAAATCATATTTTTAATTACTTAATAAAATTTAACATCTAACCCTTTATTTATTTATTTATTTTTTTAATTTTTTTTTATTT